AAACTGAACTGCAGCAAACTATAAAAGCAACACTTCACGCTTGTTTTGCCAACAAAACGTGGCGTCTCTGTGGCGTAAACACTGTGACAGTAATGAATATTAATGAAGTTGCACAATAGAGCGCGCTGATTGGTTTGAACCAAGTCTTACTCATGCATTAATGCATCACACTGTAAGACGTAATAAGACACACTCTGGCACAGACGCCCAGTCTGCACGCTGGAATACACGCTATTATGTCATGACCGTGACGCAGCTTCAAAAATTCGTTTCAAACCGGAAGTACGAATTTGCTTAAAATAACGCAAAAACAACCAATTTACACTTTTTAGTGAAATATCGGTGTCCTAATAGTGTTTTTAGCAGTGTGGGACACATATACCACTGTCAACAGCTCAACACATGTGTTTTGGTGTTTCGTGACCCTTTAAAGACCAGGTTGGAAATGGTTGGAAACCAGCCTGGAAGTGGCCAAAACCCCTCCAAAACCAGACTGGTCAACCAGCTTAAACCAGCCAACCAGCTTAGGCTGGTTTAAGCTGTTTTTTTCAGCAGGGTTTTGAAAACATTATGTTTCAATTACAAGCTAATAACCCTATCATTATCTATAAAATGAAACTTCTGAACCTAATCATAGGAGCCTGATAGAAAATGCTCATGTACAAAAAAGAAAAAGAAAAAAAAAGGCAGATGGATTTAATGGGTTTTGCATCTGAACTCTTTCTGCTAACAACAAATATTAATTATTGTTGTGCAGCATCACAAAATGAGTATCCTCAGCTTTATCCCATATAGACTTTGTAGAAAGGTTCTTTGTTGTAGGAAGAAGAAGACAGGGTCGGCGAAAGGTAAGTGACAACTTTGTTAGTGTTTCAAGCGCAAAGGTGCGTGTAGTCGCTCAGCTCTCTCTCTCTCGCTCCCTTAAGAAGGTGTCTCTCCGGCCCAATGACTAGAGAAAACAGGTGTTATTAATTATTTCTGATTGGGCTACTGACCAGCCGCAGGTGTCTCCACTCGCTCTCCCCTCTTTTTGGTTGTTCGGCCACGCTCCCCCACCACAGACTTATCTTCATTCATTCATTCATTTTCTTGTCGGCTTAGTCCCTTTATTAATCCGGGGTCGCCACAGCGGAATGAACCGCCAACTTATCCAGCACATTTTTACGCAGTGGATGCCCTTCCAGCCACAACCCATCTCTGGGAAACATCCACTCATACACTATGGGCAATTTAGCCTACCCAATTCACCTGTACCACATGTCTTTGGACTGTGGGGGAAACCGGAGCACGCGAAAGGAAACTCACGTGAAGGCAGGGAGAACATGCAAACTCCACACAGATACGCCAACTGACCCGAGCCGAGGTTCGAAACAGCGACCCAGTGACCTTCTTGCTGTGAGGCGACAGCACTACCTACTGCGCCACTGCGTCGCCCACAGACTCATCTTAATTTATATAACATTTAATATAAAATAACATTCAAATCTTGCGACTTTAAGCAGAAACAAACAGCAGCAAACACTTCAAGACTCTCACAAACACATTTCATGTTCATCATCTTTTTCATTTCTCAATAAAAGACGTATATTTCCCTCCAGATGCGCTCATCTTTTGTTTTTTGAGCTCAAAGTGTCAACGATTGAAGGCAGAGCGAGACAGTAAAGAAACCAGGGCTTATTTTTCCTCCTAATTAAGCATATGGTGCACACATTTCTGCTTCAAACGGGCCTCAGTGGGTGATGGCATTCTGGGTAATACGCCATGTGTTAGTCTTTAAACCGCTGCATCTGTTGCGCTGGTGGTAATGAGTTCACGGAGCTTTCAGACACGAGACTTAAGAGAAAACAGGGATGTTTGTTACGGAAAAACTGAGAGACGTTTGGTTTTGAAATCAACACAGATGATTGGATGCTTGAAAACATCAGGACACGCCTCTCTGAGGGTCTCATTGGTTGAATGATAAATATATGCAATTGAAGTCAGAATTATTCCCTCCTGTGAATTTTGTTTCCTTTTTCAAATATTTGCCAAATGATGTTGAACAGATTCAGGAATTTTTCTCAGTATTTCCTATAATATTTTTTCTTCTTATTTGTTTTATTTCGGCTAGAATAAAAGCAGTTTTAATTGTTTTAAACCCATTTTGAGGTCAATATTATTAGCCCCATTAAGCTAAATTCATTTTGAATTGCATACAGAACAAACCACAGGTATACAATGCCTTGCCTAATTACCTGAACTTACTCTAGGTAAACCTTTAAAGGGCCACGAAACCCTCCTTGTCTCAGCAGGATTTTTTCACACCTGTAGTTTGGAAAAAGTCAGGAAAGTGGGCGTGTCCAGCTCTGTTTAGGTGGGAGTGTCAGGGGAGGGAAAGAGGGAAGGTTTTTGCATAAAAATGGGAGTTTTCGTTTGGGCACACGCTGATTTGCACAGAGGCAAAACAAATACACTGGCGCAGGAGAGAAAGACAGTGACTGTGTTTACATGGACATCAGTAATCAAATTATTTGGCAAATTATTAATTTGTCAAACTGCAGTTTGGCACTTTCACTTTCATTCAGGAACATTTCCTGCATCCCCCCGCTACAAACCAGATATTGGATTCGAGGAACTGCTGGAGGAGTGTAGTTTTAATAGAATGTTTGATACCGCATGGTGCATGGGAGAAGAATAATCCTCTGCATTTCTCAGTAACTTAGATGGTTTAACTTCAGGAGAATTCAGAATCATTGGAATAAGGGTGGAATAACCCTACTTTTTCACTCACCCCAAATAAAAACATTTATTATTCTCAGCAACTGTGATTTTCAAAAAAAAAAAAAAAAAGACTCAAAATGACAATATTTGTAATTGAAATTAGATTTTTTGACATTTGTTTTTGACAATTTGATTAAAATTATCTTTGTTATCAGACAATTTTGCAAAAACTAAATTCTAATACACTGAAAAAAGCTTTTGTTTATTTAGATTTTTGTCTTGTTTCTAGTCCAAATTTCTAAAAACTCTTAAATCAAGAAGCATTTTCTAAGAGTTTTCCTTTAAAATAAGCAAAATAATCTGATAATGAGGTGTGCAAAATAATCTAGTATTTCCTATTGACATAAGATTCATTTTCTTACCCCAATGTCAGATTATTTTGCTCAGTTTTTTTTTTTACTTTTTACAAACATCGGATACACATGATATTTACATGAAATGTTTACATTCACAAAAAAATAAACAAATAAATAATAAATATATAATAAATAACAATAACAACTAAAAATGATAAATAAAATAATAAAAAAGGTAGATAAATAAATCAATTAATAAATTAATAAATAAAACTCCAACGTAAACGCAATAACTACAATAGAGCTCTTTACAACATTTTTGCGATAAAGTATGTTTCGATGCCCATGTCGGATTTCAACTGCAAATATGCAGTCATTTTCTCAAAACTATATATATATATATATATATATACAGAATTATTAGCCCCCTTTGAATTTTTTTTTCCTTTTTTAAATTTTTCCCAAATGATGTTTAACAGAGCAATGAAATTTTCACAGCATGTCTGATAATATTTTTTCTTCTTGAGAAAGTCTTATTTGTTTTATTTCGGCTAGAATAAAAGCAGTTTTTAATTTATATATATATATATATATATATATATATATATATATATATATATATATATATATATATATATATATATATATATATATATATATATATATATATATATATATAAATATATCTGATTCAGCCTCTGTGTCCATTCTGTCAAAGTAGGTCAGCAGGCCTTCTTCCAGGTTACTGTAATTATCTTCCTATCAGTTATTGATAGTATACGTAGTACAAATAGGTGAGACTTACTGAACTGATCAGGGTCAAGCCATCAAGCAAAATTAATACTGGGTGCATTGGTATTTCATATTCTAAAACTTCACTAACTCATTCATTCGTCTACCTTCGGCTTAATCCCTTATTTATCAGGGGTCGCCACAGCGGAATGAACCGCCAACTATTCCAGCATAAAAGCCTCAACCCACTGCTGGGAAACACCCCAACACACTCATTCACACACACACTCATACACTACGGCCAATTTAGTTCATCAATTCCCCTATAGCGCATGTGTTTGGACTGTGGGGGAAATCAGTGCACCCGGAGGAAACCCACACCAGCACGGGGAGAACATGCAACACAGAAATGACAACTGACCCAGCCGGGACTCGAACAAGGTACTGTCAAACTCTAAAGCCACAGTGCTAACTACTGAGCTCCCTTTTAACCTCCTGCCAATGCATATTTTGGGACTTTCCTAAAATATATGCATATAATCCTCTGCACATAAAGAACTATTGAATCTGGCGACCACTATTTTGCTCATTTTAAAGGGAAACTCACTTAATTTTGACTTATTATTTCTTAAAACAGCACACTATTTTCTCCTTGTCTTGAAAATGTTTCTTGATTTCAGAGTTTTTAGATATTTGGACTAGAAACAAGTGCAGAAAAGCATTTTAAAGTCTACATCCCCTTATTCAAGTGATCTCTTATTTTTTTCCCTCATAGATGTTGCAGCTGCTGCCAGTGTATTTTGCATGTGTAGCAGAGAACAGGTTTGGATTTGTATGCCGATGTACCATCATACATTTTTGTGGCTCAGACACCAGTCATTTAGTCTGTCCCTGATGTTTACGACAGATCTGAAAGACGAGGCATAATTATATAACATAAAATGCTAATTTTCCAGTGTGCTTGAACGGTGAAGGTCATGAGTTACGATTTTCAGGAATCCTGAATGCATTATGATCACTTTATCTCATGCATGAATGTGAACCAGTTCAGCGTTGGCATGAGCCAGTGTTTTCAGTTTTGGATTTATGCGGTGAGATTTAATGTTATGTGACGTCTGACCGTCCCTGAGGAGGAAACGCTGTTAGTTTTTGTGTGGTTTCTGGGCTGTATATTGAACTAACAGCTCTTCATCTGCTCTTGTGTTTCTCCAGAACGAAGAGCTGAAGGACGGCCGGCCGACGCTGCTCCACTGCCCTCTACAGGGTGAGAAAACCTCTTTTATACACATGGAAACACACACACACGCGCACACACACACACACAAAGGCGAGCTGACAAAACCTGTTACAACCAGGGCTGCCTGTGGCATATAAGCAGGAGTGTTTTTAATCAGAAGTGCGCCCTCTAGTGACCATTGTGTGCTCCAAAACATTTTAAAAGGATAGTTTACCCAAAAATTAATATTCATTCATTCATTCATTCATTTTCTTTTCGGCTTAGTCGTCCCTTTATTAATCTGAGGTCGCCACAGTGCAATGAACCGCCAAAATTAACATGTGACATATAAATATAATTAAACATATTCTTAACTATATGTTATATATGTTAATTTGTTTTATATATACACACACACACACACACACACACACACACACACACACACATATATATATATATATACACACACACACACACACACACACACACATATATATATATATATATATATATATATATATATATATATATATGTGTGTGTGTGTGTGTGTGTGTGTGTATGTTTAGTGGTTTTGCCTCCAGAGAAAGCTGAAGGATGTGAGAGTTTTCTTCAGTATTTGTCGCCTGATGATGGAGAACGAGACGCGCAGAAAGTGAAGAAGCGCATCAGCCTGCAGGTCAGTTTAATACCCACATGAGAAAATACTGTATATTATAGTTAATATTGTAGTAATTGTAGTAAACTATCCGCTTTTTAAGTGGTGACGTGTTTGTGACGTATGTATACTGTTTCCGGGTCCAAGCCGCCACTCATTTGAGTGGAGAAATCATTCGTTTATGATCACGTTTTATTCCTATCACACATTAAAGTTAATTGTATATAAAATCATAGTGTACACAACAATCTCTGGGCTTGCTGCTTAACAAATACCAAAATTTAGTATATATACAGTTCATATATGTGTGTGTGTGTGTGTGTGTGTGTGTGTGTGTGTGTATTAATATTATTATTATTATTGTTATTTATTATTATTATTATTTTTTTTTTTTATTTATTGAAAAGTCTACTTTTACAATTTGACACATGCAAACCACTGCAGAAATGTTCTACCCAACCGGCCCATGTCATATACAGTACAGATACTTAATAAATAGCCTATTATAAATTTAAATGATTAACCTATGCTATGTTTTTTGTCACAAGCTTTGGAGACATAACAACAAATTTGACTCTTTTGTCAGTCTTTAATTTGACATATTTCATATTTATTTAGCAGTGCATATTATTTTTTGTGTTCATTTAGTTTCATTTAACATTTAGATTTTATTTTATTTCAGCTTACTAATGTTGGTCAGCATTGTCTTGGTTAAACAAACAAGTAAATAAAATAAAACCTGAGCGAAAGATGATGTTTGTATGCTGAGCGCATGATCAAAGTGATAATCGGATGTGTAAAACTGATGTGTGATCTGTCAGGATCTGGAGTGTAACGTGTCTCTGGCTGAAGACAACAGACAGGAGTGGGTTTTCACACTCTACGACTTTGACAACAGTGGAAAAGTCACAAAAGAGGTAAAACATTGAAGACATTGACATATCTATGTTTAGAGATAAAGTTTCAAACTAATCTAATCTTCTCCTGAACCTGAGCAATGCACATGGCTAATTGAAATGTACTGTGACGTTGTTGTTTCAGGACATGTCCAGTCTGATGCACACTATCTATGATGTGGTGGACGCCTCGGTCAAACACTCCTGTAACAGCAAACGCAGGAGCCTGAGGGTCAAACTGAGCGTCACATCAGAACCTGCAGCTCGCCGGAGAGACGCCACACACACTGGTGATGCTCTGCACAACATACACACTGACACGTGCACATACACACACGCCTTATGAAACACTACATAATTTAAAAGGAAAAAAGAAAGTCAAACATATTTCATAAAACAGTTCACGATTCATCATTCATTTATGGGTATACATAGATAAAACAGTCAGATCAATATTATAAAATCAGTGCACAGTATAGTTTGTGGGTGTACAGTAAAACGGATATTATTAAAGCAGATTCAAGAGTTCACACTTAGCTGATGATTGATAGTAAAGCTTGTTTGGCATGCTGTCCCGGGAGAGAGCCCTGAGCTTATAAGATCCTCGAGCCCTCGGCTCCCTCCCGTTGCAAGGCGAGAGGGGAGTTTGAGCTCAGGTAGATCTCGATGACTCCCCCTCTTGCTTGTTGTAGCTAAGTGTCAGATATGGATGCTGAAAGGTGTACTCAGAGTTTAGCCAATGTATTTGGATTAATTCTTTAGGGTGCTTGTTTTTGAACTGTGGGAGGAAACCGGAGGACCCGGGGAAAACCCACGCGAGCACGGGGAGAACAAGCAAACTCTGCACAGAAATGTCGTCTGGTTAGGAAAGGAATTACACCAGGGGCATTTTTGCAGTGAGGCAATAGCGCTAATCGCTGGCCACCGTGACGCCCGTTTGAAAAGAGGGAAAGTAGGGTTGGGTGGGGGGGTTTCTTCAAGACGAAGATATTGAGATGAGAAAAGTCTGGTTATTTATAGTGAGTTAAGGATCGTCTCATAGGATAAGCAGTCGTTAGCTAAAGTTGGAACAGCTGTGAACAATCATAAGCACGTGATCCTCTCGAAATTTGTTTATAAATAAACTTCACGAAATGTACTAGGGTTATGTCCTGATGGAGCAGATTCTTGATAACAGATGCATGAATCAGTCTGATTGTCTGACCTTTTTTTTCTCCCGCTTCAGAAAGAGAAACGAGTCATTTGAGTCAAGTTGAACCTGTTCGTTCAGAGGAGCATCGCAGCGCAGACAGACGACAGAGCACACACATCAGGTCAGCAGAAAACACAAAACAGCCTGGTTTTACTCCTGAAAAAATACTGTAGTAATTAATTTATAGTAAAATACTATATTAAACCACAGTAAAGTGTATTATACTTTTATTTACAACACTTTGTTGATGAACTGTAATAAATACTGTAGTATACTTTGATTTGTTGTGGTGACTCTATAGTTGCTATTGTAACACAACAACCATAGCAACTGTAGAATAACCACAACAGATGCATCACTATAGTTGTTGTTAGCATAGCAACTATAGAATCACAATAAGAGTTCAATTACTATAGTTGTCGCGTTACCATAGCAACTACTGAATCTCCTCAACAGATCAGTTACTATAGTTGGTGTGTTACCATAGTAACTATAGAATCACCACAACAGATCAATTACTATAGTCGTTTTTACCATAGCAACCATATAATTACCACAACAGATGCATCACTATAGTTGTTGTTACCATAGCAACTATAAAATCACAACAACAGTTCAATTACTATAGTTGTTGTTACCATAGTAACTATAGATTCACCACAAAAGGTCAGTTACTATAGTTGTTGTCTTACCATAGCGACTGTAGAATCACCACAACAGATCAGTTACTGTAGTTGGTGTGTTACCATAGTAACTATAGAATCACCACAACATATCAGTTACTATAGTCGTTGTTACCATAGCAACCATAGAATCACCACAACAGATCAATTACTATAGTTGTTGTGTTGCCATAGCAACTGTAGAATAACCAAAACAGATGCATCACTATAGTTGTTGTTACCATTGCCACTATAGAATCACAATAACAGTTCAATTACTATAGTTGTCGTCTTACCATAGCAACTACTGAATGTCCTCAACAGGTCAGTTACTATAGTTGGTGTGTTACCATAGTAATTAAAAAATCACCACAACAGATCAATTACTAGGCGTTGTTACCATAGCAACCATAGAATCACCACAACAGATGCATCACTATAGTTGTTGTTACTATAGCAACTATAGAATCACAACAACAGTTCAACCACTATAGTTTTTGTGTTACCATAGTAACTATTGAATCTCCACAACAGATCAGTTACTATAGTTGATGTGTTACCATAGCAACTCTAGAATCACTACAGTATTTATTATAAAAACTACATTATTTTTTCATTTGGTTGTTTTTGTTGATTGTGATGTGAAATGCTGGATTGTCTTGATAGTTTTACAGTATTACATGTACAGTGCTCGTCTGTTTGTGCTGTCCTAAATGCATGATGGGTGTTTTTTTTTCTTCAAAGAGGCCAGACTGAGGCTCATGAGGGAAACCATTACTGTGTGGATGAAAACACAGAGAGAAGAAATCATTACCTGGATCTGGCAGGAATAGAGAACTACACGTCTAGATTTGACAGTAAGACTTTCCTGAAGACACACACACCAGCCTCAAACACTGTGCACAGAAAAATACCTCAAGAAATATCACATTCATTCATTCATTCATTCATTCATTCATTTTCCTTCGGCTTAGTCCCTTTATTCATCAGGGGTCACCACAGCATAATGAACCACCAACTATTACAGCATATGTTTTTACGCAGCGGATGCCCATCCAGCTGCAACCCAGTACTGGGAAACACCCATACACACTCATTCTCTCAAACACACACACACACTCACTCACACTCTATGGCCAATTTAGCTTTATTCAATTGACCTATTGTACAAATGCTTGGACTGTGGGGGAAACCGGAGCACCCGGAGGAAACCCACGCCAACACGGGGAGAACAAGCAAACTCTGACCCAGCTGGTACTCGAACCAGCGACTTTCTTGCTGTGAGGCCACAGTGCTAACCACTGAGTCACTGTGGCACGCTGTGTATTATTTATAGTTGATCCTTGTTGTATTTTTATCTGTCAGGTTCATCTCCGGATGCTGATCAGGATCCCCCGTCTCGCTCTTCACACAGTCAAAGTCGCCCCCATTCACAGGAGCCCGAAACACATGTTTATCAGCGCCGCTCACAGCTCATGGAGCCCTGTGTGGCCCCGGACCCCCGCCTGCGCACCGGCCCCCAGCTCATCAGATCAAGGTTATTCGAGTTCTGCATTTGAGTTTAGCTTCATTAGCTTTATGAATGGTTTTATTTAGTGATGGTCGAAAAACAATGATATTCTTTCTGATCTGATACCAAGTACTTCAAGACAAGTTTGGTCAATATCAATTCAATTCATCTTTAATTGTGTAGCGCTTTTACAATGTAGATTGTGTCAAAGCAGCTTCACATAGTAAATTGAAACTGTGTAGTTCAGTTTTCAGTGTTTAAGTTCAGTTCTGTCACCGACTCGGTCCCAGTCATTCCCCTCGCTGGCCAGCAGAGGCCGCCATCCCCGGACTTCTCGCATTACATCATCCACATAGACTGATTGTGCACACACCTGATTTGAATCCCGGTAATGACCCACGCTACCTATATAAGCCACACTCAAACCACAGTCCAGTGCAAAGTCTTGTTCAGCCCCGGCCAGCTTTACTGAGCGTTCTTTCCTGCCTGATCTCCTGTGCATTACCCCGGACTGTTTCTGACTCTGAGTTGCCTTCTGCCTGCCCTCGACCCTCGCTTGTTACACGGACTCTGAACCACGCTGCCTGCCCTCGACCCACACTTGTCATAAGGACTCTGAACCACGCCGCCTGCCACTGATCTATGCCTGGTAAATCACTCTGTGTCTGTCAGCTGCCAGCCCCACAATCTTTATTGATTGTTGTTGATGTGAGTTCGCACTTTAGTGCGTGTTGGATGTTTGTTTTTGAACTGTGTCTAATAAACACTGCAAAATGGATCCCTCCGTGTCAGTCTCCCCGTTACGAGTTCAGTTTAGCTCAGTTCAGTGTGGTTTAATAATCACTACTGAGAGTCCAAACACTGAAGAGCAAATCCATCGATGCGCAGCTCTACAGATCCCAAACCATGCAAGCTAGTGGCGACAGCGGCGAGGAAAAAACTTCACCATTTGGTGAAAGTGAAGAATTAAAAAACCTCGAGAGAAACCAGGCTCAGATGGGCACGATCATTTCTCCTGTGGCCAAATGTCTTGTGCAGAGCTGCAGTCTAGGCACCGGAGGCTGGAAAATGCCGGACCTCAGCGAAGACTTATCTGTCCCTGGAGCGTCACAGGAATCAGTCTCATGCTCTCCACTCCTCCATGACCACTACAGCAGCAGCTCAGGATACGGTCTGGTCCAGGATTCTGGAAACCTTGGGATCATCTCGGGGCTGGTCTTGGATTGAATCAGTGTCACTGCATAGTCTGAGGGCCTCGGGATGAGTATCCCCAGGTGGAAATAGAGCATAAAGAGAATAATTTATGCATCGCTGCTGTTCATAGTGTATATAAACGAGATGCAGAAACCTGCATGGAGCACATTCATGTATCATACTGTTAAGTGATGCATTGAGTGTATGCTTTACTAAACAGATAGGTCTTTAATCTAGTTTTGAACTGAGAGAGTGTGTCTGAGCCTCGGACATTATCAGGAAGGCTATTCCAGAGTGTAGGAGCCATGAAAGAGAAAGCTCGACCTCTTTTACTTGACTTTGATGTTCTAGGTACTACCAGAAGCCCTGAGTTTTGAGATCTTAAAGAGCGAGTTGGATTGTAGCGAGACAGAAGGTTGGTTAGATAAACAGGAGCTAGATTATTTAAAGCTTTATAGGTGAGAAGTAATATTTTAAATTCAATACGAAACTTAACAGGCAGCCAGTGTAAGGAGGATAACATTGGGGTGATATAATCATATTTTCTAGACCTGTAAGAACTCTGGCTGCTGCATTTTGTACTAGCTGTAGTTTGTTAATAGAGAATGCTGGGCAGCCAGCAAACAGAGCATTACAGTAATCCGGCCTAGAGCTCATAAAAGCATGGACTAGCTTTTCTGCATCTGGGATGGATAGCATACTTTGTAACTTAGTGATATTTCTCAGATGAAAGAAGGCAAATTTTGTGTCATGGGAGATATAATTCCACCGTGAAGCCCCTGAAATTAAATTGATCTGCTTTATTTTAGACATTTTGAGGGACATTTAGTGGATATTTTGATTTATATTTCTACTTTTGACCTAAAGGGCAAACACTGTGTACAGAATTACAGTTGAAGTTAAAATTATTCCACCTCCTGTGATTGTTGTTTCTTTTTCAAATATTTTCCAAATGATGTTGAAGAGATTCAGGAATTGTTCACAGTATTTCCTATAATATTTTTTCTTCTGGATAAAGTCTAATTTGTTTTATTTCGGCTTGAATAAAAGCAGTTTTTAATTGTTTCAAACCCATTTTAAGGTCAATATTATTAACCCCCTTAAGCCATATTTATTTTGGATTGTCTTCAGAACAAACCACTGTTATACAATAACTTGCCTAATTACCCTAACTTTACCCTAATTAACAAAGCCTTTAAATGTCACTTTAAGCTGAATACTACAGTAGTGTCTTGAAGAATATCCAACCCAGGCTCATTCTGAAAACGTAGTCCAGTGGACGTTTCTGGAGACCGCGAAATACGTCCCGGGAGGTACGTATTTGTGCAGTTTTTGTTTTCACGAATCCGCAAGAGGCCGCTGTGTGCGCTTTTTCGGATCTCGAACGTCTCTGGCGAGTGCAGTTCGCGCCCGCGCTGTTCTCGCGTGAACCCACCAGAGGCCGCTGTCTGACTGACCGAATGATTGACTGCGCGACCGGCCAATCAACTGACCCACCCTCCTCCTTCCCTGAACCCAACCAGTTTTACCGATTGACCCGTCCGCCGGCTCACTTCCCTAAACCCAAGCAACAATTTAGAAAAGCCGTCTAGAAAAAGAAAAGCCCTCGTCTGTTTTTTTTTTCTTTTTTACCACTTTTCACCGCGTTCTCACCCTGTTATGAACTCGTTCGCTTTATTTTTTGGATTCTGGTTTTGTCTTACCTGATTTCTGGAACCGCTCTTCCCCGGACTCGAACCCAGACGCCTTTGTCAACTCTGAAGTCCGCCGACGCACACGATGAGCTGACCGGACAAACTGATTGCGGCGGGAAAGCCCTCCACACAGAGGTAAGCGGTCAGCCGGCAAGCGCGAAAGGGAACGGCGTCACACCACCCTATAGCGTTCGCTTAAAAAAATTAAATGCAGCCATACGTACCACCGGAAACGTATTTCGCGGTCTTCAGAAACGTCAGCGGGACTACGTTTTCAGAATGAGCCTGGGTTGAGAATATCTAATCAAATATTGTTTGTGTAAATCTTTTTTAAACAGTAGTTTTTGTTTACTAAAAATTCTCTTGCTTTAGATCCCCTAAAGGGTCGTCCAGATTTCCTGGTGTCATCCCGAATGTGACCAAAACCAGCAAGTGCCACGGACACCATCAGCCCATACCGACTGGTCAGGACGTTTATCATCTAACCCAGCAGAACCACACACACGCACACACCCCGAGCGGCCTCCAGCACAGCCACAGCAGGAGGATCAGATCCAGAGCCCGAGAACAGCAGGCCCTGACACCGGTCAAAAACACCAACGCTACTGCACTGGTCCAGAGACACGAACACCATCACCATCACGAACACCACCATCATCACCACTACCACCACTACCACCAGACATGATGCCGTCTACAGAACACAGACTTCAGTTTAACCGTCAGGTCTGAAATTGGAAACATTTTCTGCTGACTTTTGAGCAGGTTTTTAAATGAACGCTCTATTATTGGAGGAAATTTGTGGCTTATTTTATAGCTCTCCTAGAGCAGGAGCACTTTTAGCTTAGCTTAGCATAGGCCATTCAATCAGATTAGACCAGTAGCATCTCACTCATAAATAAACTATTAAAAATGTTAATAAAAGTTATGTTTTTGGACTTTTCATGGTCCCATAGTGCAATTCAAAAGCATACATAACCACAGGGGAAGATAAAAAATATAAACATGAATTACAAAATACGGATAATTGCTAATTTATGCATATGTTTGTACAATTTAGAGTAAAGTTGAGTTTTTTATTACATTTAGCCAATTTTTTTGCTTTTAGCTAAGCTTAGCATAGATCATTGAATCGGATTAGACTATTAGCATCTATTTATTTCCATTTCCACTTCTTTGAATCCATTCAGCTGATCTTCAGGTCTGTCAAAAGCATTTTTAGATTAGCTTAGCATAGATCATTGAATCGGATTAGACCATTAGCATCTATTTATTTCCATTTCCACTTCTTTGAATCCATTCAGCTGATCTTCAGGTCTGTCAAAAGCATTTTTAGCTTAGCTTAGCATAGATCATTGAATCGGATTAGACCATTAGCATCTATTTATTTCCATTTCCACTTCTTTGAATCCATTCAGCTGATCTTCAGGTCTGTCAAAAGCATTTTTAGATTAGCTTAGCATAGATCATTGAATCGGATTAGACCATTAGCATCTATTTATTTCCATTTCCACTTCTTTGAATCCATTCAGCTGATCTTCAGGTCTGTCAAAAGCATTTTTAGCTTAGCTTAGCATAGATCATTGAATCGGATTAGACCATTAGCATCTATTTATTTCCATTTCCACTTCTTTGAATCCATTCAGCTGATCTTCAGGTCTGTCAAAAGCATTTTTAGATTAGCTTAGCATAGATCATTGAATCGGATTAGACCATTAGCATCTATTTATTTCCATTTCCACTTTTTTGAATCCATTCAGCTGATCTTCAGGTCTGGCAAAAGCATTTTTGGCTTAGCTTAGCTTAGCTTAGCTTAGAAAAAAAAAATTAAAGGAAGAAAAAAAAAATTAAAACATGAATCATAACATACAGGAAACTGCTTATTTACAGGTATTATTTAAAATGGAAAGTTAGGTAGAGTTTTAACATTTTTGAATTCAGTCACACGATCCCCAGGTCTGGTAAGAACACTTTTAGCTTAGCTTAGCATAGGTTATTGAATTGTATTAGACCAGTAGCATCTCACTCATAAACGATTAAGAGTTTAGAAAATTTTCCTATTTAAAGCTCGACTCTAGTTACATCGTGTGCTAAGGCTGATGGGGGAAAATTGCTATTTTGTAGGCTGTGGGTGTGACTATAGGAACTAAAATAGTTTCTTGATTATTATGGCAGAATAAGAGTATAGTTCCTAGCCATATCAGTCTAGAAAATAGCAATTGTTAATTTTCTGTCAGTCTTAGTACATGATGTAATTTTAAAAGTGTCAAGCTATAAATAGGAATATTATCAAAACTTTTTGATCATTTTGTTAGCAAGATGCTAATGGTCTAATCTGATTCAATGATCTATGCTAAGCTAAGCTAAGCCAAAAGTGCTCCCAAACTTAATTATCCAAACTTATCGAAAATGATATTTTGCCATTTTTGTGAGCAAGATGCTAATGGTCTAATCCGATTCAATGATCTATGCTAAGCTAAGCTAAAAGTGCTTTTTAATCTTAATTATTCAAATTTTATCAAAGTTATTGAAAAGGTAATTTTTTAAATTTTGTGACCAAGATGCTAACGGTCTAATCCGGTTCAATGATCTATGCTAATTAAAATAAATTTAATTACTTTTCAAACAAAGTAATTAAAAAAATAAATGGAATTCAAATGATGTACATAGTAATGAATTCATGTTTTGAGGTAATTTACCCAACACGGATCAGTGTAAGAGTGATAAATCAATGATTATTGTAGCCAATCACAGTCATTTCTGATGAGCTTGTGAAAACAACAGCCAATCAGTGGTGTTTAAGAACCTGCTCAACAGTGTTTGTGGGAAATTAATGGTTTTAGAACCAACTGGAGGATTAAAGTCTGCACTTTTTGACAACGTTACTGTTTCTGGACCAAAGACATCAGATGAAGCTGCAGATTCGCTCGAGTCAGTGAACATCGAGCTTTGAGACGAGCGGCACAATCCTGTTATAAAGTTCACAGAGTATTTCTATAAAAGTGTATGTCATATATTCAGAAATATAGCTCTGGGCAAACTCAGGCACTTATTATGTTGAGTAACTAGACGGATTAATTATGAATAGGATGGAATAAAGCTACATTTGGACTTTGCTGATAGTTAACATGAGAACAGCACAGTTGTGGGGATTTTCCCCCTTACATTTTTGTCATTATATTATCATGGCATGAAATCATTTTGAGAGGCACAAACCAGCCAAACTAAGCACAGAAATATATTACAAATAAGTGGTTTATTACAATTAGAGACCCAAGGAAAAATTACTTAAAATAGGACAAACTAATATGATTACCATCGTTAATATTTCATCCAAAATACAGTGTTAAGACATCAACCTGAGTTGTATCATTTTTGATGATCATTTGACATTAAGATTGTGTTTTATACAGGTCTGTATTTTATGAATTGTGAGGTTTGAATTCAAAAGATTTTTTTTTTACAAAGCATTGCACACAAAAACAGACACACTCATACACACACAGTTGAAAACAGAAGTGTACACACACTGTATAAAAACGCACATTACCATTTAAAAATAGTCAGATGTTAATGTGACTAAACTTGTTCTCATTTAGGTAAGTCAGGATTATCACATGTGTTTCTGTTCTGCTTAATAGCAGAGTAATGAGAGAGATATTGTATGAGAAATGGTTACATGGTTTTGGAAGTTTCTGATTGACTAATTGACGACATTTGAGTTAATGTGAGGCACAACTGTAGAACAGTATTGACGGAAAACCCCAAACACACTGCTTCCTTGTGTGACAACATGGGAAAATCAACAGGCCAGAATTAACAACAAAGCCAGATTACAATTAGCTAAATGACACTGGGAAAAGAGTAATGTTTGGAGACATGTCCTGTGGTCTGATGGAGCTAAGATTGAACTGTTTGGCCATAATGAGCAGTGTTACATTTGGAGGACAAAGGGGAAAGCTTACAAGTCTAGGAACACCATCCCAACTGTGCAGTATGGGGGCGGCAGCATCATGTTGTGGGGCTGTTTTGCTGCAGGAGGGACTGGTCCACTTCACAGCATAGATGGCATCATGAAGAAAGAACATTATGGAGAAATACTGAAGCAACATCTCAAGACATCAGCTAGGACATTACAACTTGGCCACAAATGACTCTTCCAGACAGACCATGACCCTAAGCATACTGCCAAATTAGTGATAATGTGCTTTAAGGACAACAGAGTGAATGTTTTGGAGTGGCCATCACAAAGCCCTGATCTCAATCCTATAGAAAATGTGTGGGCGGAGTTGAAAAAGCTTGTGCGAGCAAGACAGCCTACAAATCTGACTCAGTTACAGCAATTCTGTCAGGTGGAATGGGCCAAAATTCCTGCAAACTATTGTGAGAAGCTTGTGGAAGGAGACCCAAAACATCTGACCAAAGTTATACAGTTTAAAAGCAAAGCTAAAAAAAATACCAAGGAAATGTGTGTAAACTTCTGACTGTCTAGAAATTAATAAAAATCCTCTCATTATTCTGGCATTTAGCAAATTAAATCATTTAGGTAATCCTTACAGACCTAAAATAGTAAACTTTAGTATGAGTTACCATCAGACATTTAAAAAAAATAGTTATGTTCCTTTTTTAGAGTGTATGTAAACTTCTGCTTTCAACTGTATATATCATCAAATATATAATGATATATTCAAATATATCAATTGACAATGGACTGTTGAATTATGTGACAATAACGCAGTGATACGACCACCGTGGCAGACCCTGGGGAAAGCAGCATTCAATCAAATGAACCTCTACGTTCTCTTAATTGTGATAAACTAATATGGTTTTTCTATCTTTAATAGAATAGTGCTCATGCATATGTATTGGAAATCAAAATATCCATTCAAACCACAACATTATTAGTATTATTGTTTTAAAATTCACCCCATGGTTGGTTACTTGTGAGAAAGTATGATTTATTTCCTTCTTATTGTATCTGATATATTAAAAAGGACCTATTATGCCCCTTTTTACAAGATGTAAAATAAGTCTCTGATGTCCCTTAAGTGTGTGTGTGAAGTTTCAGCTCAAAATAGCACACAGATAATGTTCTCTAACTCTCTGAAACTGACCCTTTGGTGCTTTGATCCTTATTGTGGCGTTTTGGTGACTGTCGCTTTAAATTCAAATGAGATTGTGCTCTTTTCAGAAGAGGGCGGAGCTATAAATGCCTGTGTGTCAGCATAGTGGCAGATTCAAAAACAAGACTAACGTCCTATGCTAATAAGGGTGAGATGGGCACTAGTGGGCGTGGCTTTCCCCCTCTGATGACACGTACAAAGGGAGAATGTCAATCAAAGTGTTTCTGCAAACTGTTTATATCAAGTCTGATCATAAACAATAGAACTAATACATGTTGACCATTAGAGGCTGGTTATATCCACATTCTGCTGCCACACAACTGTGTTTAAACCCCTTATAAAAGTGATTTTTCCATAATAGCTCCCCTTTAAGACATATATGATGGATACATGCACAGAAGAATGAGCCCATGATGCTCTGCTTTTCCTCAGACATGTCTCTGTCAGTCTGATGCGTCTCTTCAAGTGTTTCTCCTTATCTCGGATCTCAGGTGAACTGTGCTGCTGCTCTGGAAAATAAAAGGCTATTTCTCCTTCTGGAGAGTCTGCCATGGACTGAACGCCT